CTCTATGCTGAGTATTTCAAAAAATATTGACATAAGAAACATACAATGGTCAGAAATAGAAGAAATCATAAATTATATTTTCATAGGAACTAACATCAAGACTATTGTTTGTATGAATCATGTTGAATATATATGTGAGTTAGACCAGAGAAATAAAATTTTTGAAATATATCATTCTTCGAGATTAGGAGGTCATTCGGGAGTGAATCGAACTTACAATAGAATTAAGGAAAAATACTGTTGGGAAAACCTAAAGAACGACATACAAAAAAGAATTTCCATGTGTATAGAATGTCAAAGAAACAAATTAAAACGTAAACCTACACGACAACCAATGATTATAACAGATACACCTTTCAAAACTTTTGATAAAGTTGCCAGGATATAATGGGGTCATTCGATATTACAAAAAGTAATAATCGGTGCATACTTTCAATTCAAGACCAACTTTCAAAATTTATCACATTAGTAGCATTAAAAGACCAAACAGCGGAAGCTGTAAGCGAAGCTTTTATAAAAAGGTTTATTTGTACTTTCGGAACTCCAAAAATAGTACTAACGGACAGAGCACAAAACTTCAGAAGCAAAATGTTAAAGCAAATTGCCAAAAGATTTCATTTCGAAAAAATTGAAACAACGTCATTTTCACCTCAATCTAATGGATCTGTCGAAAGGGCTAACCATCCGCTTTGCGAATACATCAAACAATTTACATCAAAAAAATGTGATTGGGACGAACTCCTAGAGTTGGCCCAATTCAATTACAACACCAGCATACACACTAGTCACAATTTCACACCACATGAATTAGTTTTTGCTTTTCCAGCCAAATTACCATCTAGCGTACCATTAAAAAAATCCGAACAATTACCAACTTTTAATGGATACCTAGAAAATTTAATAAAAAACATGAATATAATATCACACATGGCTAGAGAAAATCTAATAATCTCAAAACAAAAATCAAAAAATTATTATGACCGATTTACAAATCTAGTAAATTTTAAAATTGGAGATAAAGTATGGTTCATGAAAGAACCAAAACCGGGGAAATTAGAGAAAAATAAATATTTAGGACCTTTTGAAGTATTAAAAATAACTGAAAAAGGCAGTGTTGTAATCGATTACAATGGAAAACCAAAAACAATTCATGCCAATAAATTAAGCGTAGCAAAACAAGCATAGTAATCTTATTCTATTTCCAGGAAACACAATGGCGCAACAATCAATGACTATCTTAATCATAATCACCTTCTTTTCAACAAGCAAAGGACTTATTGGTTTCAATTGCGGCTCAACGAACCCTACCATTACAACATACTCACTCTTGGATGCAGGGGAATGCAATTTTCAAGAAATTCAAGTAAATAACACACAAGCCACTATCGAACTATTACAAAAAACGGAATTCAAATCAATGAAAATTATACAATGTAAAATAGAAATAAGGCGAACAATTTTTCATTGCGGTATGTTTAGTCATTTAGGCCCAACCGAAAATGCAATCCAAGAATACATTTACGAAATATCACACGACAACTGTAAAGCTATACATGATACGGGTATTTTTAAATATGATAACGCACACACAATAGCCGACCTAAGGATTAACTCGACAAAAAGTGTAGGTTTAGATCTAGCAGGAAACGTTAAGGGTAAAACTTGTTCAGGGGCAGCCTACGCCGACCGATTTGGTACGTGGAGCGATGTTCTCGTACAAGGACTTATAAAAATAACCTTGTTAGAAAGCTATGCAGCAGTCGAATTAAATAATGATAGATTAAGATTAAATTCGGGTACAGTATGTAAGTTTTCGGACCAACATTGTATCGATATGGAAGGAGGTTACACCTTTTGGTCATTACTACCGCACGAAGACTGTTTCAAAAATCAATACGATATACTGTATAGGGGAACGGTCACTAAAATAAGCTCACCCGATCATGAAACCATTTTTAGCATAAGTACGAACGAAGTATCCTTTGCATTGTCAACTAGAGGGAACATGAGTTTTTGCAACAGAATCTTAATAACAACTGAACATCCAAAACTTTTTATATACGAACGAACCCAATTCAATATTTTGTACGACAATGATATTCAAACGAAGCAAGGGATACTTAGCTATGATCTATTCACGTACTTCAATAGCAAATTTGTGTATGTAGAAAAGCATTTCAGGGTCGAAATAAAAAGCCTCTATATAGATATATTGCAACAAAAATGTGAATTGGAAAGGAAAGTCCTATATAACTCCTTATCCCTGGCATCCCTCTCACCAGATGAATTTGCGTACAACATCATGGAGAAGCCCGGGTACATAGCTCGCCTGACAGGGGAAGCCGTACATATTATACAATGTACGCCTACAGAAGTTCAACTACTTCATACAGACAAATGTTTCTCGCAACTTCCAGTCATTTCAAGAAACGAAACATTTTACCTCACACCAAAAACATACATCTTAATGAAAACAGGAACAGAAATAAACTGCAACACAATCATTCCCCAATACTACAAAATAGGAAACGAATGGATAAATTTGACACCAACTCCGAGAAGAACAACCAACGCAGTTCTAACCTTGAAACCGACCACCAAAATAACATGGAAACCGACGGAACTAGAATCATTGGCAACCAGTGGGATCTACTCCCAAGAAGACCTACAAAAACTACAAAATCACATCCTCTTCCCCATGGAGAAAGCATCACTCCTCAACGTAAACCGCTGCTCAAACAGAGAAACCAAACTCCGTCAAAAGAGGAAGAATATGCATTGGATGAAATAGTAATAGACAAACAAAAAAATGAGAACCCACAAGCAATAACTCCATTCACGAATCAGACCTTAAACACCACATCCCCCGTCCCTACTCCTAAAGAAATTTCCACCAGAAAAAAGCAACATATCCCAATTTTCACATTAGAATCACATTAGTTAAAAACACAAATCTGTTATATATATACATATCGAATCCTGAAATGAAGCTCTACTATACCGTGATACGGAGTATTATTGTCCGCGTAACATTAAAAGTACTATTAAGGTAAAATTAAAGCGTATTCAATCGATTGCTGAATAACTAAGAGTAACGCACATTTATTTACTTATTTATTTATTTATTTATTTCTCTCTCTCATTTCTCTCTGTTTATTTTGCGTTGATATCACACCGATATACAACGATCTAGCCACGGAGGTGTTACGTCCCGAGACGTAACTATTTCTTCATTTTGATTTCATCAGCAATCAATTGAAAAACGAAATAATGTATAAACAACGAACGGTATTTTTACAAAATACAAACTCAGCGAAATTAAAAGATGAGTAGTCCGAAAATCTGGGGCGCCCGACATTTTGATTTTTTGATTACTCAACACATTAATATGGGCCGAAGAGTCAATATAAAAACAGAAGACTCGACTATTCGGCAGTTGATTCGCGACGCGCGACTACTCAATAACATATAATTTGTTAAAGTTCTTACGGACTGATTCGCGACGCGCGACAGCCGAACAACGTATAATTCACCTACTGTTATTTTTGAGAAACCACTTCTGTCATTGAATAAATAAATAATTACTTAAATCGAGTGTTCGTGCATCATTACCGATCGACCTCACATATACTTTATCAAGATAAAGCTAAACAGCCAACTTAACTCGAGATAATAACCCAGGTAAGTTCCTGTCACTATAATATTTACTAATAAATGAATGATCATATATATTTTAAAAATACACGTCACGGCTACGTAGTCGCGACATAACACCAATAAACAGATACTAGTAATGTATAACAATATGTCAGTTTCTCATCTAACGTGACTTCCAGATCCTTAAATACTGTAACACACTCAAGAGCCACTCCATAAATCGAATATCTATGGTAAGAAAGCTGCTTAGTGCTCCCATATGACATGACTGCATACTTGGAAATATTCACACTTAATCTATTATTCACGCACCAAGAGTGAAATGCGTCAATATCATTTTGAAGCTCATAAACACGAACATCAACTGAAGCATTCTGGAAAATCTTAGCGTCATCCGCATAGAAGAGTTCTTGACGTTACAGCATTTATTTACTTGTTAGTCATCACAACATATAGTAGGAACTTGGAATTTATCGTGTGCAGAAATACATGGATAGAGACTTAGTTACATCATTGTTAATCAGTGCTATAACTGAAAAAAACTTTTTTGTATTTACAATACTAATTACTTTGACTGCAAAACCCTTGGAAGAAAAGCAATAATAGTCAAAACTACCATTAAACACCACAAAGTTGAAACATACAAATACAATTATCTACAAGCAACAAATGTAGAAATCGATTATAAGAATGGTTCAATCATATTCTCTGCGATATACTGTCCTGCGAAACACACTATCTAATGAAACATCCAAATCGATTAGCGAAGAATATAATGCATACAACTTTAAAAGTATCAAGATTCAAAATACACAAATCATCATTTAATTAAATTTAAGATTAATTCTATTAAATAAAAGTCATTTTACTTTTTCTTCAGTTTTGTTGGTACTGGTCACTGAAAAATCTACATTAACTTCATGTAATATAGATTTCAAATAACAATGTTACCCATTTTGTAAGATTGACTTATTAACGTTTTTAACTATCGTTTACGTATTAATGTAATATTTTTGCAAAGTTTCAGCAAAGTTTCAATAAAAGGATTTCTTTTAATTTTATCAAGAATCATATTTAAATGGAACGTTCACAAATTTTCGACAAAGCTAGAATTAGAATTCTACTTACTTTTCACTAAAGCTGATAGTTTTCAGTGTTTTCTATATTATTAGATATAAGATATATTAGATAATATTATATTATTAAGGGTTGATGTGGTAATTTACAAAATTTTATGGAAGCAATATACAATAAATTTTCTGTGTTTAAAAAATACTTCATTGTGATTAAATATAAACATAATTTTAATGTAAATCTATATAACTACAATGTCCTATACTTACGATAGTGCAAGTCCATTATAAATCCATGATTTCCATCCACCTTTAGAATTACCATCAATTCTACTTTCTATAACTTCACATAACATTTTACGGTCGTGACTCCTGCCACTCCGTAAATCACATAATAATCTTTTACGGCATTCGTTATTACAAGGTGGTCTTATTGGCGAACTTTTATAATAATGCCTGAAAAAATATTTTATACTGTTTTTAAAATATTACAACATTTTTATTGAGATGAACGTCATAGAACAATGATTATAATTTAACCCAACCCTTCAAATCAAGCAATTAACACGATGGTCCAATCTTTAATTTCATGTACTAAACTGAGATTTTTGGGGTCGCTTATTATTAATATGTAGTTAGATTTAGAAAATTTAAAATTGATAATTCAATATGGTACACTGAATTGAAATAATTTAGTTTAAAAAACTATACATATAATTTTTTTGATTATTTCCTTGATTCACTGCAATTTGATCTTGAAGTTGATGTAATAAAGGTGAAACGAGCTCGATTTCGTGATCAGCGACACAAAAACCCTTATATACCCTTACAATGTAATATGTAAAGTTTGATGCATCGTCTTTTTTATTTGGTTTTAACGTTGCTCCATTTATGCTCCATCAGTGCTGATCAGCGACGGAATCATATTTTAATATTTTATTATTTTATTATATTTTCTGTTTTCGGACATGACAAAAAGTAAGGGAGAGAGAAGGAACATTGATGAAAAAAAGAAACCAAGCTGTTATCTATTTTATTACGCAAGCAAATATGGGTGCGTACGTGTGTATGTATGTATTCAATTGTACTGTTAGAGAGAATAACTAGTCTTTTACAACACATTGTTAACAGCTTCATACCCCCGCACTGACTTTCATTTACTAAAATTGCAATAAGTTATTATATTGAACTCATAGTTGTGTAACGGAGAATTCCGGCTTTACCCGTCTGGGTTGCTCGCGACCGTCCGCACAAATTATTTATTCGGGGATTCGGAAAGCAAAAGACGTTCTCACGACTGAATTACGCGTCGAGCATAAACACGTTAAACGCACAGATTCGAAGTCGGGATGAGGAGTGATACAGCGGCGAATAAGCACAACAGCGGATTAACACACTAGTCATTTAATTGTCAACAATCGATTACAATACGGCGACCTCGGACTTATACACTACGAGCGGCACAATAACAAACGCGAACACGAAGGTGAATCGGTGGCGGGTCAGCCGGCCGACTCCCTTGCGGAAACTAAACATTATAACAAATGCCCGACAAACACTTTTCGCCGATAGACTACCAACGGGTAGCCAGCAGGTCTGCCGTGCTACCAGCCATAAACTGGCGCCCAAACATGCATGAGAGAGAGACAAGAGAAAAATACGGCACCGATCTCGACCTTCAGCCTCACCGACGGCTAGAGCGCTCTGCACCGTGACGTCACTGGTGTGCTCTTCGTTGACCGTCTCGCTGGTATTTTCTTTTTGTCGTCGCTATCTTCCTCTTTCTCGTCCTCTCGTTCGCTGATTGTTGTTGCTGTTACCTCTGCTGCCTCTTTGCTGTTCGGTGCTGCCGCACGTCCAGACTGTTCGCGCGCGCACCCTCGCACCGGTGCCGGGTATACTTCGGGACACGGCTGTGCGACCCAGCCTAACGCTCCAATACTCATCCGCGCACCGGGCGTGTATCCGAAACGAATGATCGTCGACGAGGTCACGGGGCCAACTTGGAAAAACCGTAACCTTCGGTTTTTATCCGCGCGCGCGACTTCCTCTGCTTATCGCTTAACAGAGACTCTCCGAATTTTCCGCGGCGATCCGCAATTCGAGCGCTCTCTCTCTCTCTCTCTCTCTCTGTCTCTCTTCTTCTGCGCCACCTGCATCGCTCCAGTCGTCAGCTTAGCCCGTGTTCAGCACCTCGTAAACAAAAGGTCCAAACGTGAGTGTGTGTACCAAACGTACACACTCTCAGCCTGGCACGGCGCACGGACATTTGCGAGAGCCAAACAGACGAGATCGGCCTAGCCGAGATTCTCCGTTACAGTTGTTTTACTATTATTTAGCGCAAAATAATTAATAGTTGTGTATTTTGCAAGTAGCCCACTGTAAGGTATAGAAGATGTCGACTACTAATAAATTAACCCTTTTCCTACCTGCAGTTAGGGCTACCGTATTTGTCGTAGAATGTGAAATCGCGCATTTGTGGTATGCTTATCTTTTTTTGGACGATAACTCTTTACCTCTAAGTACTGTTTCTGGCAGTTGGTTTCTGTAGTCATCAATATTATTATAAACATAAATATTGTCTCAGTTTCTCATAAAATATTCAGTTTTCATTGTTTGTCATTTTCACTAGTATTTTATCGTTCTAAGACTTAGTATTGATTTTTATGTGGTGTCAGAGATCGTAAATCAGATTATAATTTAAATAGACTACTTACCATAGTTATAGTAATATTAGAAAAATCTGTATATGTGAAGAATTCTACAAGCTTATTCAGCATCGGTTAAGTTATTTAGTTTATTATTGTAAAATATTATGTAGGTGAAAAATGGATAACTTATGGGATATAATTAATTAGTTACACACTAAACTCTCATTAGTTTACAGTCTATTTTTTGAATAAATAGCTTGTAATATTTCAAATTCCTTTTTGCACAGATATTTTTATTATTATACGAGGGTGGATCAATAAGTCCTTAGAAAATCCAAGAGATGGCGCTCAAAGCATCCTAACTTATATTGCACCAGCAAGCGTCACATTTAAATAGAGTGCTACCGAAGTTTCAGCCAGATCCATCGAGTAGTTCCGTTTTTATCATCGATCAAAGTCAACAACAACTTTTGTTTCTTGTTAACAATGAAAAAAGTGAATTCCGTGCGGTCATAAAACATTTCTTTTTAAAAGGGCTTACAGAGGCTTGCAATGACTCGGTCGGTAGGGCGATGGACCGCACCCGGGTAGGTCCGGGTTCGATTCCCAGTCCCTGCTGATTGATACAAGCACCACTGAAAAAAGTTTCATGTGCTTTGTTCTCAAACACATTGCAAGCCTCCGTCACTGATTAGCTCTGATGGAGCATAAATAGAGCGACGTTAAAAAAAAAAATCAAAACTGAGTTAGATGCAGTTCATGGTGTATGTGTCCCTGTGTTTGCAATTGGTTAAATAAATTTAAAAGTGGCCTTACATCGACTGCAGATGAACATCGTTCAGGTCGTTCTGTAAACGTAAGCACTCCGGTAATGATCAATAAAACCCACGACATGGTGTTGAGTGACCGAAGAAGAAAATTACGCCAAATAGTTGAGGCCACAGGGGTTTCAAAAGGTACAGTCATTTGTCATTTCGATTTTGTATGAGAAATTGGATATGAGAAAAATTTCGGCAAGATGGATGCCGCGTTTGCTTTCAGTCGAGAACAGCCGCAGTCAAGTGGTGGTCGCTGAGGCCCTCTTAGTACGCATCCACTATAATCCGGACGACTTTCTGCGTCAATTCATAACTGTAGACGAAATGTGGATACACCACTATACTTCTAAGACGGAGGAACAATCAACACAGTGGATTGTGACTGATTAATCAGCTCCAAAGAAGGTAAAGCCAGTGAAATAGGCCGGGAAGGTAATGGCCACTGTTTTTTGGGATGCACGTCGAATTATTTTCGTCGACTATTTAGAAAAAGGTCAAACAATCACCGTAGAGTATTATGCGTCGTTGTTGGACCAGTTAAGCGAAAAAATTAATTAATCGGTTAAGGAAAAACGTTCTCATTTGAAGAAAAAAAATTCTGTTTCATCAATACAATGCACGAGTGCACACTTACTTAGTTTCAATGAATACCATTGAGGAATTGAAGTTCAAATTAGTCGACCATCCATCATATTCACCAGATTTTGCTCCTAGTGACTTTTCTAAACCTATGTAATGCGGTGGATTACAAGGCTTACGAGGGTGGTCCGATAAGTACTGTTATGTATTCTCCTCTGATTTCGAATGAAATATGTTGCTAAGCGATTTAGTAGTGTTGTTTATTTCTCAGTGTGTGTTTTTGTGTTGAGACGGAAAACATATATTTGTGGTTATTTGAAATAAATACGTTCTCGTTCTTTTAATAACAAAGTTATTATTATTATTTTGTGTGAGTGTACGTGTGAGTGTAACATTTTGGGGGCCCCTCCGGGATTTCGAGATGTCAGGAAAAACGCCGCGCACACCAACGCATGTACCATTCCAGACAAAGACAAGAGCACAAATTGCCGCGGAAGAACAGTCTGCTGCAGTTGCTATTACCACTGGCGAGATTGCTGCTATGGCTGACGTTGTGCTTGTTAACAATGACGCCACTACTCCTATTGAACATCGACTGGAAGAACAAACAAGACCTACTAAAAATACAGGTACTGTTGCTCGCACTAATACTAAAGCTGCTGATGTCGATTCAGGGGACAACTCGACGGCTGACGTTTCGCGCTCAGGGAGCAATGTCCGGGTAGTGATTGCGGACGTTTTGCTAATGCCGCCGACGGTCACAGATGCCTCGGGTGCGCTGACCGATGAGTTGCAAACGGTGACTGAACCCGTCCTTGCGCCTACGGTGACCGATATCCCGTTGCCACAAGCTACTCTCTAGGAAGCGCTGTTAGCACTCAACGATGCAAGGGTTGAACTCGATAAGTACCGAAGACAACTGGAGGTTATGCAAACCGAACGAGAGGCCGAGCGAGCATATCGTGGACAATTGGAAGAAAGATTACAACATCGCAGCATCGAAGAACAGAACGTTACGACGGAGCTTCATCTACGCGATGCTACTGTTGTTGATCATCATCGAACCATTGAGAATCTACAGTCACAACAATGTCTTCTTGAACAACAACTGACCCAGTTCCGTCAACAACTAAACCAGATGAGTTCCTCTTCCTACCTTACTACACAAATTACACCAACAACAAATACAGCGAATACAAGTAACACGTGTACACAACAGATAGGGTTAGATAATAGAACAAATAGGGAGATAAATACACCTATTGTAAACTCAGCCAAATCAATTGAAGTAGGGTTAGGCTATAACTTCAAACCTGACAATTATGATGGCACAGCTCCTCTATGTGAATACATAAATCAATTTAATTTAATTGCAAGAGCTAACGGGTGGAATGATGAAAAGAAAATG